TAGATTTTTAAGTTCGGTTACTTAAGTAATATATTACATCATTTAATGAAAAAATACCTCATTCAGGTTTTCTAGAATCAAAGCAGATAGAACTGGGTGCGGCCCGATTTCTAGGAACATTGTGCACCCCTGGTTTCCAGCTGTGTTGCTGGCGTCAAGGAAACAAACCTTTTGTCGAGTGTGTCGCCACCAATAGTCTTTGTCAACCTCAAATAAAATGCATCCTTCTACGCCTGATATAAATTTGTATTTAGTTGCCTTCTTGAATTTTAGTGTTGATAACATTGCATCATAATCGTGCCGTATGGGGTCCATTAATTTAGAGTGAAATCCATGAGAGGCGTCAAGCTTATGGGTCTTAATGCCACTGTTGTCGCAACATCTTGAAACATCCAAAACATCTTGAATTCATTAATTTTGTTACTTGAACCTGATACAACAGTTTGGTTGGGGGAATTAACAGCAGCAATGTCCAGATAGTTGTCTGTCTTAGAAAATGCTTGTTTAATTTGAATTTTAAGAGTATCTATGTCACAAGCGACAACCAGCATACTCGACTTCGGAAGAGCGTCGATGAGCTGCGATCTGACTACCACCAACTTAAGAGCATCCATTTCATTCAATATTCCAGCCGCAACCGCAGCTGCAACCTCGCCCAGACTATGACCCAACACAGCTACCGGGATCACACCCCAGGATTCCCATAATCGCAGGAGGCAAATCTCCACGCAAAAAATTGAGATTTGACTATATAATGTTGAGCTTAGTAGATGATAGTGTGCCTCCTCCCAAAGGACTATCTTCATTTCCAATCCGTATTCCAAGGCCAATACAGAATCACACCAATCAAAATGTGATCATAAAGGGATTTGGCCATGCCAGCATATTGTGACCCTTGCCCTGTAAATATAAAACAGAGCCGAGGTGGGGCAACAGGAACATTGTGGGCTTTCTAAATAGATTTCATTGCTGACAAGAGTGCTTCCTTTGTTGATCCAACTATGACTTGTCGCAGCGAGAAGTGAGGACGTCCAGTATTAAGAGAATACTCCAAGTTAGTTAGAGAAATATTGCTGCATGGGTCAAGTTCGTCCTTACAAGCAGCCATTTGTGCGTTTAATGCTGTCTCAGTTTTTGCAGAAAATGTTAGAAGTTTGTGTTGTCTTGTGTCAGTTTGAGTGAGTATCGCATGTGCGTGATGGAGTGGCGGTTCTTGTAGAATTAAGTGAGCTTGAGCTCCTGTTATCCCAAACGAGTTTATCCCAGAAATTCTGGGTTTTCCATTAATTTTTCTCACCCATGGCGTGGCTTCAATTGGTAAGTAAGCTGGGATAGCAGCCAAGTCAATTTCCGGGTTAAGTTGAGTGAAATTCAAATGCTTCGGAATGAGATGGTGCTTCATTGCGAGCACCGTTTTCTGTATCCCTGCAATTCCGCAAACTGATTCTGTATGCCCCACGTTTGTTTTTACTGATCCTATTATAAGCGGCTCCCGGCTTGGTGATGAGTAAGCCTTCGTAATAGCCTCGATTTCAATAGGATCGCCAACAGGTGTTCCTGTTCCATGAGTTTCCACGAAATCTACATCATTTGGGTGGACGCCAGCTCGGTCCAAGGCTAATTAGTTGAAAAAACCAAAAGCATTAATTAATCTCGGACATATTCCCCAGTGTTTGCTAGGTGCGCCATAGTACGCATATTCGTTCCATTCCAATGTATATTAAATTCATGGTTCCAACCTGCATGGCTTTTGCCTCTACAGTTATAGTGGGGGTTCCCATACTTCTGCTTGTGCCCTCCTGAACGACGGCAGAGCCGCGAATTACACCCAAAATCCTGTTTTCATCCGACAAAGCGTTGGAGAGTCGTTTGAGAATTAAAACTCCCACTCCTTCAGCTCTTCCAAACCCATCAGCCGTTGCATCAAAAGTCTTACATCTCCCATTTGTTGCTAGAAAACCGTCCAATAGTGCTGGCGTAAATGGGTGAAGAAGTAAATTTGCTCCAACGGCTAATGCGAGATCACATGTTTCATTTCTTAAATTATCGCAGGCCATGTCCACTCCTGCAATAGATGTTGAGCAGCCACTTTCTGTAGAGAAGCTGGGTCCAATCAATTCGAAAAAGTGGGAAATTCTAGCCGTAAGTGGTCCAAGTGCGTTGCCCATATAACCGCGGATGAAGTCGAGATCTACGACACCTGCCTTTTGTATCATATCGCGATAGTCGTTGCGCCACCTATTTTGAAACTTTTGAGGTTCAATTGTTATTTTTAATTGTCAATATTTTACAGACCATCCACCATACACTCCCGTTAAAGAGTTTTTGAGAGAGTTGGGGTCAATTCCGGCATCTTCCAGTGCTTCCCACACTACTCGCAGGGATAGTCTTTGTTGTGGATCTAGTACGGCCAAGTCTGCGGAATTTGTGTTAAAAAATTTGGCGTCGAAAGTGTCGATGGGACAGGAAAGGAAGCCAGCTTCCGTATTTCTCACGTTCTCGACGAGAATTATAGAACTCTCCTTTGTCCATCGACCCGCCGGTACCTTCTGTATCCCGTCAAGTCCTTGCTGCAGTAAGTCCCAAAATTCCTTAATGGAGTTCGCTCCCGGGTAACGACACGCCATTCCAACAATCGCTATTGGACAGCTGGGATCCCGTATGGGAATTGCTGGCATACGCATATCTCCCTGAATATAATTAGCGAAAAATTTCGTTCCTTATATATTTCATTCATTTAGATGAGGAATTTTGCTCACCTTCCTCTCTTCCGGGCTAATAAGGGAGTTCCAAAAGGTTTTAAGATCTTGATTCAGGCCATATTTATTTACTGTGTGAGTTTCTTCATTGGGATGACCATTCAAAAAGCATACAATTTTTATCTCATATCCAGGTAACTGCGTAGGATTCGGACTGTAATTTCAATTTATAGGTTAGGTTAACCATGTAAGGCAACAATACGCAAATAAATAATATGTATTAATATCGTCCAATGTAATTTCTATTTAGCAACAAAGTCACCTGTTCATGTTTAGCTCAAAGCAATAATCCATCGCGTCCAGTAGTGGCGTCATGGACTCATCAGCATGATCACTATATTCGAAAATGTTAAATTAAGCAAATATCCACAAAGTTAACTTTACCATCATGCGATATACTGCACTTGGATAAATTCCACTACTCGCTTTTCTATCTGTAAAATTTAAACTGTGGTGTTTAGTACGCATTTTGATGAATTTAGTTTGGTTTGTTGATCCAAAAGCTAAATAAAGTTACTCGTAAGACAAATCGGACACGGGGTGTATTGCACCGCGGATTTGGAAAGTGTAATTTATGTTCTATTAATAAAATATGCTATGTGTTGCTGATAATAGTATATGCCCATATGTATGCCAAAAGTATATATTATTCATATCACTGGAATGCGTATTAAACTGAATTATAGCAAATACCTAAATAAGTACGTACTTTTTGAAATTCAGAATTGCAATACTATAAAAAGAATATTAACCAACGGAGAAATTGGAGCCTTTCATTTAATAGATGACCGCCTGCTTCACATTGCAATTTACATACGTATGTATGTACCTCGTACATGCTTAAACAAAACAAAATAATTCTAGCACGGAATTATCGAGGTGGTATTTTATTACTAATACAAATAAAAGAAGATAAGAATGCATTGAAGCAGCGAGTGACCAACATCATGATTTACTTTGAATCGAGATTAGGGTTGGAATAAATTATGATTCGATTGAATACGAATTCTAAAATGGTGGGATCAAGTAGTCTGCACTGTATTTTACTAATAGGTTTAAGTAACACAAATGCAATAGTTACATCAGTATATACAAAGCCAATGGCAAAAACTCTTTTTCTTCATTACGAATCCAACCATCCGAAAACATTAAAAAATTCACTACCATTTAGTCAATCCCTCCGAATTAAGAAGATATTCTCAGATGAAGTAGATTGCCAGATTCAACTAAAATCATTATACGATAAATTTAGATATAGAGGATACCCTGAAAAATTATTATTGACCGTACATGAAAAAGTAAGCAATATTCCAAGAATGCAAATTTTGAAACCCAAAACCGTGCTTGTTGTGAACTCATTGTTAAAACATTTCCCAAACTGTATATCCGAATATCACGATATAACTATAAAGGACATGGAAAATACGAATAATGTGTACCTTGTCATGCCATTTTATAGGAATATGTATGACTTTAAGGAAACCATACTAAAATGTATAATGAAGGAGAGAGACCCAAATTGTAATCCCTCACATGCTAAGATTATCTCAGAGTTGAATTTAATAATAGCATACAAGAAAATCAACTCACTTGAACAATTCTGTAAAACCACACACCATGTAAACAAAATCAAGTGAATCGTGAACAAAGTGAAAAAATTAATTTAAAGTTTTAAAAAAAATCATTGAAAAACGGTAATTATATCTTATACTTGAATAATTTGTATACTCAATATTTCCGACTCTAGTTTATGTAAATACAAATGTAAAATTTTAGCTCCTATAGACACAGAAAAATTACACAAAAATAGAATACAAGAATTCAAGAAAAATATTTTTATTTTTATTTTGATTTATATACTTTTTAATTTATATTATAGCCTGATGAACAAAAAGCTTGCTACGAAAACGGTCGCGTTTATTTTTCAATAAAAGATTCATCAAACGTCGGTTGGATCTGTGTCCTTTATTGCAAAAGTGAGTTTAGTGTCATCACAAGGACACAGCAGTTTTAAATCATGTTGAGGATTGACATTTCAACTCCTTTCTAGTTTACATTCATTTCGGACTCATCTCATCCTCCTCCCATCCTGTCGTGATCTCTCAATAGTTTAACGTCGTCTCGGACAGAGTCAGTTTCCGTGCAGTCGTGACCAGGACTTAAGAACGTGAGCTTAGTGTCATCACTAGGACACAGCAGTTTTAAATCATGCTGAGGATTAACATTTCAATTCGTTTCTAGTTTACAGTCATTTCGAACTCATCTCATCCCTCGTGCTTACCGTGCCCTTACCATTCTTGTGTCGTTGCCGGTAATCGAGGTGTGTGTAAAATTATATTTGATTATTATTATTATTATTATTAATCATTGTGAGATTTTAAAGCTGTATGAATGTTATAATAACAGACTAATGGTTGTAATTATCACAGGTGGATGGTCGCCTAATGGTCAGTAACAAGAAATGTGTTGTACCTGGTTGCACAAGAAATTCCAAACTTGGGGGACATAAACTTTCTTTCTATTCACTTCCGAAGGATCATTCAAGGTATTATGAATTTAAATTTAGTGTATTACATTTCACATTTGGTAGATATTACTAAACATTATTTTTTTAGATTTGACGAGTGGAGTGTGATACTGAATTTGGATAAAGAAAATATCTCCCTGAGCTCAAAAGTTTGTAGCAACCATTTCGACCCAAGACATACGAAAACTGTTATTTACCAAAGTCAACTTTTCCGATTCCCCAGTCTATATCTAACCTTGACGGAAGAAGCTCGAGTTATCTGGTCGCAACAAACCCACTGCGTGCAATCCAAATAATATGGTGTGCAAGGATCCTCGAACATGTTCAAAATTCAGAATTTTGCCACCTCTCGCATTAACCCACCCCAACCAAATACATCCACACTCGCATGCTCTTCTTTCACCATACCACCACCTATATATCAGTCCACCACCACCAGCATGCAAGCGAGGATGCATTTGGTTGGGGTGGGTTAATGCGAGAGGTGGCAAAATTCTCGAATTTGAACATGTTCGAGGATCCTTGCACACCATATTACGACAAACTGTGAAGTCGATCCCATGAGCCATGATACATTTAAGTCCAAAGTAGAAAGGCTGAGTTTCATATTGGGTTATGATAAGAATCCGTCGTCTGTGTCATCCCCAAATTTAATTGTCTTTACCAGACGGCAGCGACGAAGAATCAGAAGATAGTGAACAACAATGCAATAATTTACTTAGAATAAACGAAATCGACATGTTTGACTTAACAGACGAAAATGCTGCTTGCTACGTAGGTAATTTGGCTGTGAAAAAAGTTATTCGTTCGACCAAATGTGTACAGTGCAAAAGTATGCTCCAATTTAGGGAACCAGTCCCCCCCTCCGATTCTGGTATGATCAAGTACAATTTCAACGAAGATGAAAGTTTATTACAATTCGAAGCATACGTTATGTATAAAATGTTGGAATCCAGAACTGAGCTATCATATTTTCACACGTTAAATCTGGATAGTGGGAAGGCTTTTATTAGTGTTTTCAAGCTTTTTAGAACAGCTTGTATTTACAAAATCAACTCAGAAGCTACAAATATTACGAAAAATATTGTTAAACATATTTTATTTAATTCAGAAATTCGAGAATGGGTAATTATTCATGAAAATTGTATTAGTCATAAGACCTTAATGATAGCCTTAATCGTTACTGCTAAATTATTCTGTATTGTTAAACGACATAATCAGATCTACAAACATGCTAAAAGTTTTAGTCAAACACGAGCCCAGTTACTTTACCAATAATCTTATTTAATGCGTACAGAGAATAAAAATGTACACACTACATCATCACAGGCAAATACAGAGTAAAATGTTTACTTAATTCTTGGCATTTCATCATTGTCATACATTCTCATTCGTTCTTGTGACATTGATGAGGTCGATTTGCCCTTATCTGGAATAAAACAATTATCCCTAAAGATTTTCATCGTCGCTATTGCATCCACTGAAGCCAAATGTACACCCTGCTGGATGTTTTCTTTGAAGTAGTAAGAATAAATAGATCGAAGTGTGGAGCAAGGGCGACCATTCCTTGATTGGTAACGGGACCTTTGTATTCCGTTTGGAGATCAAATATGTAGTAGTTGTTTGGCTTTAGTTGTAGGGACTCAAAATCTTTAGCCACATCACGCCCAACACATAAATTTGATTTCAAAATCTTGTCGCTGATATCCTTTACGTTTTTCATTGCAGTTCCATTACTTAAAGAATTCCATAGTATCCCATTTTTCTGCAAGGTGTACTGGTTAACGATATATGAACCCGGCTCGTGATAAACTGTTGCATCATACAGCTACTTGCCATTAAAATCGCAGATGTGTATAGTTGCAGCTTCACTAATATAAGTAATGGACTTTAGGGGGGCCATTGGGATAAATTTTATAAATTTCTGCCCAGTAATCTAATCAAACCACTCCTTTCTTGTGCACTCAGCCGGGTTTTCAGGCTTTCACACCATCTCGCAATCCAACCATATGATATTGACTATATTATTTTCAATCCAATCAGACCACCATCCTTTCGTCGGCAACGACACGGAAGACGGCAAAGGCACGGCATCAGGATGGTCACCAGGTCTATCTGTTTTCAAATTATTGCCCCATTGTACCATAGACCAAGATCGCGGCTTTATCATATCCTGTATCAACCTACAAATTCTGATTTAGCTTATTGTATAAATGAGGCAATACGTAAATTATGTTACATAGTATTCTAGGATGGGAGATTGAGGGTCTCGACTCTACCATTAATAAAACGGAATCGTTCGTACTAATTCAGTGAACCCAGGTTGCCAAGAATTTTCGGTCCGCTAGTGGCCTTTGAGTGGCCAAGAAGGTTGGCAAAAGGTGCATCTATGACCGCTCGACTTCGAGCGGACCACGGTTGGCAATTTGTTTCGGGCCAACCTCGCTCATTTTAGTCGCCACCGCTATGCCAACTTTTACATGCTTCGGCCCAACCTTCTCCCAACCTTCTTGATGTCAATGCTCGCCCACTCACAAATACAACATTGTAAATATATTTTATTTTTATTTCACACTACTCAACAATGGAAGGCAGACAAAATTTTCTTTATGTGGCAAAAGAATACATCTATACAAAATTTGTACTTTATCTATCTTTCATGAATTTCTAATACTTTTGCTTAATTTAAATATTCCAAGCTTACAACTATTAGTTGGTTTCCTATAAAATGACTCTTTTAAGCTAAAACTTGAATAACACAATTTTGCCTGAAGGACAATCAGTTACTCTATCCACTACAATAATTTCCCCAGACACCACAGACTTGGAACTAATTACGGGTTGTAATTCCACAATTTCAAAGTTAAAATTATGGTTTTCAAGTTCCGCAATTCGTTTGGCAACTTGGTTAATATAAAAAGTCCTTCCTCGAGTAAATTATTTCAAAACCTGCACAAAATTTTCGAATCCGAACGCGCTTATGTTTTCAAGCGATCCATAACTCAATGCATCCAAATTTATCTGCAGCAAACCATGTACATTGCAAATTAAAAATGTGGAGCCGGAATGGAATACGACATGGGGAGAAGGCGTGTTACTGGTGAATTATTGTCATTATCAGAGTCATTGCAGCTCTCACTGCACGACGATGACGATTTTGCAATTTTTCTCTTGGGGCTGCCTCCAGTCCCTCCCTCGTCGTTTCTTGAAAGTTTTTGTAATATTTTCACCTTCGTCACAGGTAGTCTCAAACGTTGAATTGGCTGTGTATTCGGCTTTTCTCAAAGTTTTTTGCGCCTCTCGTAGCGCATCTAATAATATATAAAACTTAGTTAAAATAAATTATTTCATGATTTTTGTTATGGTTTTTATTTGACAGTGTCCAAGTCAACAATTAATTTATTTTGTTAATTTTATTTTTATGAATAAAAAAGTTGTTTGACAAACTTACCTTTAATTGTCAAAATCTTGCAATCGAACTTCGTCCAATTTTTATCTGGATTCTTGTGCTTTCTTAACAGTGCTGGTACATTTGGAGTGGGGGACCAAAACACTGAAGACCCTGATATTAACCAATTAGTCGACACTACAGATACTGAATTATCCGTGCTAAATTCCACAACTGCAAATTTATTTGGTTGAAATTCGTTTGTGTTGGCCATGCTTTAAAATCGAGATTTTAAGATTATAAAATGGCACCTTCAAATGAGCGAGACTTGTTTTCCCACTAAAACTTGCCTTGCATGTGATTTTGCTGTTGGTACTTGCTATTGGACCTAGAGTGGCTAAAGGTTGGCTACATGCACGCAACATATGACTTATGGCCAACTCCGGTCCGCTATCGTACCAAGACTCGCAAAGTTGGCCAATATTGCCGACTCACCTCCAACCTTTTCGGTACTATGGCAAAAAAGTGGCATGTCGTTGGCTGTGGTTGGCAAAATTTGCCAACCATGACCCACCACTGCCAACCTAGGATAGCAGGCGGCCCAAGGACTCTGGCAACTTGGGAATTTATGAAATGTGTTTATTTATCGTGTTTGCAAAAAAATTCTTGCATGGACGAATTTCTGTAGAATTGGGAGGTTTATTTATAAAATAAATAAACTTATTTATTATTTATAAAATTAATAAATTTATAATTCGTTTCAATATTATACATACATATTATCTAATATATGAAGAGACTAGCGTAAATTAGTAATCAATTGATAATTAGCAAAGGAACATGTCACGAGATATCGAGTTTTACACAAAATGACGTGACATTTCTTGAAGATCTATGATAACGACTGGCGAAATATTGAGATGAATAAGGTCATTAATAATTCGTGGGTTAATATTATTCATTTTATGAGAAATCTGTAATCTCCTAACTACAAGAAATTTGGAATTTAAAACTTTTCCTAAATAATTTGCTCTTAAATATGCTTTTATTAAATTCTAAATTATATAAATATGTACAATGCTTAATAGTCCAAACTATCAGATTGAATATTAAGCAAAAAATGATAAGAGGTTATAAAATGGGATTGAATGGTTACTTGGCAAACATATTAAATATAATTTAACCCACGCCACACCAAGTTTGGTCTACACAAACAATTTATGGTTTCCGCTGGAAGTTCTTATTTTCTTAACTATACTATCCATTCTTATGTAGAAGGAACTAGTGGTGAATATGTGTTTTTGAAATGATTACCGGATGAAAAACATTCAATTTAGTGTTATCATTTATTAATTTAATGAGCAGTTTGCGCACCCACTAAAACGTTTAAAATTCATATCCTACTTTTCTAAAAAGTCAGTGGACTCTTTACGCGATACCAACTAACATTTATTTCATTTGAAGTAATTGTTACCATGGATGGAGTTAACGTTGCTTTGTTTCGGTGTTAGTAAGTGGGCTTGTTTAAAAAGATAACGTTTTTGGACTGTACTTTTATTCGCAGTGTGCACAGATTACACGATCCAACCCTTGTCAAAGTGGAGGGTGAACACTGACAAGGCTTGCGGAGCCATAATTTTGTTTTAATATTGAAGAACTTACAGATCTTAAGATGTAATTATTCACAAGGGATAGATTCCCAAAATTCCATTATAATCCTTGTCACAATTTTTCAACAAGTTTTCGGCACAACATTTGGCCTCAGCAGCGCATCCGTTCAGGAAACAGTAAAGAGCGAACAGGTGATACAAAACTCAATTATTGCCAAACTTACCGAATACCTATATCCTTTTGAAAATTGTACTACGATGCTCTTCACTGGAA